ATAGAAGAAGAAATATACTTATAATAAAATCTTTCACTCTATTCTAAACTCAATTCTCAACATATTAACATGAAACTTGTTGTAAAATACTCTAATACATTTATATTTAATTTAAGAATATATTTTGAGCATTAATAGGATTTATTGAGTATAGGGAGGACTAGGGAAAAATAGTTAGTTTTACACATTTTACCCCTCTCTCAATAAAGTAGAATGAATGGTTAATTTACAGAAAAGCTAGTATATAAATTAAGTATTAGTATATCCAACTGTAATAAACAGTTCTCCAAACTTAAATGTCTGGTTTTGAGGTAAGGAAAAAATTAAAATGAGAGATACAAAGAAAATCCATATTTTGTACTGTATCTCACTCAATTTTTACTCAATTTTCTTCATTCTTTTTGGTATATGAAATATATTCTAAAATAATGAATTTAGCAACTTATTCCACACATTTTCGTTGAGTTTTGGCTGAGATATGAGTTTTTTTGTGTTTTGGTACTTGATGTGACAAAAATCATGTGATTTTCATGTGTGACTATATTTATGAAAATGACTGTAAACATACTTTTCCGCACAGCAAAGCAGTTGCATATCCTAGCAAGGTCATCTTCAGCTTTCTTTCAATTAGCATCAACAGCCACATCCTTGCTTTACTCTTAAGCATCAGAATAGATCAGTCAGGTCACTGAGACATATTGTAAAAATTAGCATCTTAAACAAAAAGCTAAGACTGGAAATAAGCAGGCCTCTGAAGCACAAAGTGCCCTTTTCTCATAACTACTAGCATGCACAGGAAGTGATACTAAGACTTTTAGGACGAGATTACTTTGCACCTTACATCTGAAATGCATCACAAAACGTGAAAAAATCTTGTATACCCTTCTAGATATGGCAAGGTAGATTAAGTATTAGTAAACTATACAATTACAGTAAATATAAATACATACATGTTAGTAGTATACTTATTTTAAAATTACAATATAGGGACAGAATTCTTATTTGAATATAATCTTATGTAATTTATTTGATATAAATACAATGTCATACAAGAGTTGGACAAGAATTACAAAACAAATACAAGAGTCAGACAAGGATTACAAACAAATACAAGATTAACCAAGTATTCTAATAACATTAGAAGTCATTACAAGTAAGTGGAAATTATCATAACTACTAATATTGTTCTTGATTTCTTAAATACTTGGAAGTTTTTTCTGCCTAGCAAGATTAACGTCAGAAAATTGACAAGTCCATTTTCCCACCAACTAAAGTGATCACGTGTGTGTTGGTTTTTACTTATGTCGTTTTACTTTGCCTTCTGCTTTTCTCTCTCTCAACATCTCTTGCTTTCTTCCCGCCATCTCTCTCCTCTCTCTCACGACTAACTTCCACTGCAGAGTCTGCTGTTGCAAGAACAACTCCTTCAATATTTGCTGCCGTGTCCAACACAACCTGCTGCTGTACTGAACAACTGCATTACGTTGTCCACGTCCAAAGACTCGCGCCATGGGTCACTGCAAGATCGAGACACACCCCAATAACGGTGCGTGCATCTCCTTGTCCCTCTCTATCCGCTAGCCTATTTCCATTGTCCCGTTTCTCTATCCCCCGTGCTATTTTCTCGCGCAATTCAGTTCGCCATGCTGACTCTATTTTCTCTCGCGGGTGCTGGTAGCACGAGCACAACCGCTCAGTGACTTTTCTCAAGGCGAGTTGTGTTCTCAGTTTTTTTTGTGACGCGTTGTGCGGGAGCTGCAGTGCTAGTGTGACACATTGACTGAGTGGCGCTGCTGTGCTGCTGTGCGCTCGCTATAATTATTTCGACGGAGGCTAACGCCTATTGATTTTTTATATCTCCTTCGCTGTCGGCTGTCGGCTGTCGGTAACCACTCTGTGTGCTGTGCTGCGCTGTCTGTCTGTTGCATGTTCTTGGCTGGCGCATCGAAATTGCCCATGGCATGCAGCGGAAGAACGGGCTGTTCAAGAAGGCATATAAGCTGGGAGTGTTGTGTTCTGTGGACGTAGCAGTGATCATCTTCGGTGCGTTCAAGGCCGTTCTGTCGTGTATCATGCGTCCCTGTTCTCACACACCTGCTTGCTCTATTTTTGGAACACTATCTTCCTGCTCGATGTCAACGGCGGCATGTCGATTCCCTTCTTCGTCTGACGCGCCCTGACCGCCCCGGGGGCAACTCCCGATGCCGATGGCCGATGACGCCAATGATGACGACGCCGCTGCAGAGGAACGGGCCAGCCACCATGTGAAGCTGCACGAGTACTGCTCGACCAACGTCGACAACATGGTCCAACGACACATCCATGTGCGTACATGTCTTTTGTGTTTCCTTTCTTTGCCATGCGCCCCGCCCGCTGGCCACCGCAGCTGGCCCCTTTCTCCTAGTCTTCACGCCAGCCATTGACTCATTATTTTATCCCTATTTCTTTTTACATTTATTTTGTTTACTTTGTGTGACTGCTTGCTGACACTCGCCTGCTCTTCTCGCGCTCTCCCTAGTGGGCTTTACTGTGGCCCCCCAAACAAACTGTGTAATGTGTGATGTGATGCAATGCCACCCATGGACGCGTCGACCCCCGTATGTCCAATGATCGCCCCCAATGCACCACTCTCTCATATCGCCCCCTGCACTAAATTGCGGTCACTGCAGTCTATCTATCCATCCTCTCGCTACCGTTCTTCTGCTCCTGCCCTCCACACCCGGCCGCACATCTCGCCTGCATTGTGTTTCACTACACAGCCTTTGCAGGCTTCCTTGGTCCCTCATGATGCCTGCACACGTCTGCTCGCACTTCCCGTTACTATCACCTCCACAGTCTGTCCGATCGGCACGCTCCCTGTCCCCCTATCTGTACATCACGCGTCTGGTTCGGTCGACCTGTATTGCCGTAATGTTCTGGCATGGCTTTTTCTCACTAGTTTGATGGGGAACGAGAATCTAAGCATCCAGCTGACTTTAGCAAGCAACCAGACGATGGTGCTCATGATGACGATGACGACAATGATGAAGGGCCGAGGCCCTCAGGTTCTGGAGGCGCTTCTTCAGCCAGACGGCCCAGTGGATCTTCCGGAGGAACTATGGGAGGCAATGCGGGTATGAGTAGAAGAAATAAGAGTGGTACAGGATTTAATAGTAGTTCTAGTAAATACTTTCGCCTGTAATTATTTACTCAAGTATAATATATTTGTTTTCTAATTCAACAATGATAAAAAAGAATGATTATTGTATGAAGCATTTATTGTTTGAGCAACTCTGGTAAGAGCTTGTATTCTCACTCAAGTCTTGTATACTCTGACAATTTATAAAAGTATTGTAAATTTTAGAAGTCTTACAGACCTTCTAAAGATATGTCTTAGCAGCAGATGCCAATGTAATGATCATTAACAGACTTCTATATCTTTTATATATTATAGTTATTAGAATGACATACAATGTATTGTCAGACCACATCTAGTTTTGTGATGTGGACACCTCTTTTCTGGCCTTCAAATTAGTCCTTGCTTGGGTTCATTCTCTTTCAATAATACAGCTCTCAATACAAATACTCTAATAGTATGTATTCTTACTAGAATATTCTTATAGCTGAAGTAGTCATTAGGGAAGCAGGAAATAAGTATTCTTGTTTGACTTACATCAGGAAAATATCTCAAACTTTGTATTAGCTTATATGTATATAAATTATATATATTTTCTACATTATGTATAAGAGCTTATTGTGTACCTAGGGGTTTTAGGAAGGTAATAAGAAGCTAAGAAAGCTATTAAAAAGTCTTGACTTTCTGGTCAAGAATAATAAGAATTGTAGTACTTACTAAGATATACAAGTGCTTAAAGTGTACCTTGCAAAATGGCTAAGTATTATAATACTTGTTATTTTAACAAGGAAAACATATAAATATAAGATGTATAAGATAAAATTTTCCTTATATCCATTTGTTATTGAAATAACAGTTTATAATTATATTGAAATATTGTATAAATACATTATTATCTACAACAATTAGGGAAATGATCTGACGACAGATGGCAAGTGTATTGACAATAGAGAACGAATGTGTTCCTCAGCCGTTTGAGGTAGTCTTTGTCACCATACCTTGGTTGCCTCTCAGTCCCTGCAAGTTGGATTGTGCATGGATTGTGAGATTGTACGGATTGCAGAGGTCGAGGTTGCACCTGTGAGGCAGATTTGGAGGTTGACTTTGTTAAGGGGGCAAGGGGTTGTTAGCAGTGCAGGTGCTTG